GGCCAGGTGGCATCATTGATGGACTCAAGTGTGGCAGTGGTAGTGAGGTTGGCCCAGGATCGGACATTGTTTCGTTCTGCTGTGCACGGGGTCGCTATGAGTCGGTTCTGACTCGATGACACCTGACAACAACAACAGTTGGTTCCTACTCATAGCAACCCTGTTCAGGGTTTCTGAGAAGCAGCTGGTGGATTTGAACCATCAACTTCACAGTTAGCAGTCCAATGCTTACCCTATAGGATCACACCAGGACTCCTCATATGCCATGTAATTCACTTATTTAAAACTTACAATTCAGTGTTTTTTAGGGTATTCACAGAGTTGTGCAACTTTCACCACAGTGTCAATTCAGAACATTTTCTTTACCCCAAAAAGAAACTCTAGCTGTAACCAGTCATTCCTAGTGCCTCCCACTCCTCTAGTTCTAACCCTAGTCCCCCACCCAGGGTTCATGAATTGACTCCACAACCTGTTGATGGTGAGGTCTCTATGTTGTTGTTGTTGTTAAGTGCTGTCAAATTGGTTCCAACCCATAGGGACCTTGTATAGGAGTTCTGAGGAGTGGCTGGTAAGCTTGAGCTGCTAACCTTGTGGTTCAAACCAACTTTTGCAGTCCAGCACATTAACCCACAGTGCCACACCAGGACTCCATACATATATTGTGGTGCTATGAAGTTAGTTCCGACTCATAGCGACCCTGCATAGTGTGTCCGGGGCTATAAATCTTTATGAGAGCAGAAAGCCTCATTTTTCTTTTGCAGAATGGCTGGTGTTTCGAACTGCTGATCTTGAGGTTAGCAGCCCAACTCGTATCCACTATGCTACCAGAACTCCATCTATGTCTCTCTCTCTTTATATATATATTTGGTAAAGAGTCATGGTGTGGCGCTGTAGGATAAGCACTGGACTGAAAGGTCATTTTGAACTGCAAGGTGTGCAGTTCAAACTCACTAGCCACTCCTCAGAAACCCTATGTTGTTGTTACGTGCCGTGGAGTCAATTCCGACCCATAGGGACCCTGTATAGGGTTTCAGGGTTGCTATGAATTGGAAAGGATTCCATGACACTTAACAACAACAGTAACATGCTTGGTAAAGTAGAAGGTTATCAGCAAACAGGAAGAATATTAGGGAATTGATTGATACAGTGGCTTCAACAGTGGGTTCAAACCTAGCGCTGAGGAGGACGCAAGGTCAGGCAGTGTTTCCTTCTGTTGTCTGTAGGGTCACTGTGAGACGGAACTGACTGGATGGTACCAAACAGCAATGTCTGCATGGTACCGGTTCTTCCTCAAGCTCCCCTGCCCCCCCAATTTGCATCTTAAAGAAAGTAGTTCCTTTGCCCTGTTTGTGTTTCACACAGTCTGAATTTTTGTGGCTGGCTCATTTTGGGGTCCATTAACAGATTCCCCCCACCCTGTGAATTGCATGTAGGCTGGGAGATAGAGGTGGAGGTTTGACCTGGATTTGGCAAGATGGCTTCTCAGGTAATGGCTTGTATTTGGTGTGTGTTTCCATTGGTGGCAGCCTCAGATCTGCCTTCATGTCTTTGTCCCTCTCTATCTCTCTTTTGACTTCAAACCCAAAAAGTCAGTGTCATGGAGTCGATTCCAATTACAGTGACCCTATAGAACAGAGTTTCCAAGGCTGCTAATCTTTAGGGGAGCAGATTGCCAGATCTTTTCTCCCACGGAGGAGCTAGTGGGTTTGAATGGCTTGAACATTTGGGTCGCAGCCAGGTGCTTTAACCACGGCACCACCAGTGCTTCCTTCAAAAACACTTTTTCTTTTTTTTGCTGTTGTTGAGAATCTGCAGAGACTAGACACCAACTCACCAGTTTCTACTATATGTATAGTTCAGTGACATTGATGACATTCTCTGAGTTGCTCCTTCCTGTTGATGCAAACTCGCTGCCCCCTAAGGTTCCTCGTTGGTCTTTCCAGTTGCTGTCGTCAGTTCGATCCTGTAGGGATAGATCTTGAAAGTACACAATTCTCAAGGCAGAAATTATTAACTCATTTGGCGAAACAATTTGGTTTTAAGAAGACCTCTGGGGATACTCTCCTTTTAAGGTTTAAAGATGATATCAGGGCAGTGGTTTCAGGGTGTTTTTCAGCCTCTGTGGTTCCAGAAAGTCTGGATTCTGTGAGATTTTGAAATTCTCCTCATTTTGCTTTCATATCTCTCACTCTTTTTTTTTTTCTTTCTTTTTTTAACCTGTCTCATGTTTCCTTGTCAAGTCACCCCAAATGTCATTGCCATCAGCAGCTGATTATCACTGCTGTGTTACCATTCCAAGGCAGCAGGGACTGGTGGTGGTCATCATATAGTATTGTCACTTCACAGTATTGACGCAGACTGCCTGCCTTCCTTCTGAACGTCATCTTGGTTCGTTTTTGCCACAGCTTCTCTCTCAGTTAAGAAATCGACTTCATTATCTGGTGACTTGTTTAAGCCTGAATGTCTGTCTGAATAAGTCACTGATCGTCATTGCCTGAGTCCCTTATGCCATTACGTAACCTGAAACAGTTGCTGTCAGGTCAGTTCCAACTCAGTGGCCCCATGTATGTGTCACAGTGGAACTGTAGTACACTGGAATTTCAGTGGCCGATTGTACGTCGTTTCTGTTGGTAGGTGCCCTTTCGTTGGGTTCTGACTCAGGGACACCGTAGCCAACAGCACAAAACACTGCCTGGTCCTGCGCCATCCTCTCCACTGATGCAGTTCAGCCCACTATTTGCTGTCACTGTGTCACCCCGTCTTGTTGATGGCCTTCCTCTTTTTTTGTTGTCTGATTGTATAGTGGTGGGTATGTGCCACGGACTCAGTTCCGACTCACAGTGACCTTGTATAGGGTTTCCAAGGCTGTGAATCTTTACAGTAGAAAGCCTCATCTTTTTTCTATGGAGTGGCTGGTGTATTCGAACTGCTGACCTCATGATTCATAATTCACTATGCTACCAGACTATGTTGTGAATCTTTACAGTAGAAAGCCTCATCTTTTTTCTATGGAGTGGCTGGTGTATTC